GGCAGAGTGATCTGGAAATAGGGGATTTAGTCATTGAGCCCTTGTCATGGTCTGATCACTCCCTCCTTCGCATGAACTTTCGAACCGCTACACCTCACCGCAGGGAGACGGAACCAACTAGGTGGTTCCGTCCCAGGTGCCTGATGGACCCGGATAGGTTCCTGATGGAGCTTGGACCATTCCCTGAGGCTCTGACTCGTGGCACGACTGAAGAACTGGTGGCCGCCTGGGATAGGGCGGCAGCTGGAGCTTTGACCGCATCATGCCTTTGCAGCCTCTAACCCGGTGCCGATCTCAATTGGCTCCCTGATTTTCTGAGGAGCTGAGAGAGATGAAGCACCGGAAAAGACGCCTGGAGAGTGATTGGAGGGCCAGTCGCTCTGAATCTGACCGAACACTGGTGAGGTCTCATATTAAGATTACCTAGTGGCGATAAAAGCGGCAAAATTTAATTATTTTTCCACTCTTATTGGGTCTGCAGAGAACCACCCAGCAGCCCTGTTTAGGATGACCCGCTCCCTCCTTCATCCGGGAGCGAGGGACGACCCCTTGCAGGGCAGGGCTGAGGATTTTGTGCAATTCCTGCATGACAAAGTCACTCAGATTCGGGAAGGTCTGGACTCTGATTGGGTAGATCTGGATGGGATGACGGAGGGGGGTCTTGAGAATATTATCTGAGAGGGGTTTGACCTTGTGACTCCCGAGGACGTGGACAGGATTCTGGGGAGGCTTAGCGCTGCCATATGTTTATTGGATCCGTGTCCCTCCTGGTTGGTGTTGGCCTCCCGGGAGGTTACATGAGGCTGGCTCCAGGGGATTATTAATGCTTCTTTGAGCGAGGGTTACCTCCCCACCTCTTTGAAAGAGGCGGTGGTGAGGCCCCTCCTTGAGAAGCCCTCCCTGGACCCGGCTGTATTAGCGAATTATCGCCCAGTCTCCAACCTTCACTTTGTGGCGAAGGTTGTTGAGAGTGTGGTGGTGCAACAACTTCCCCAGTACCTGGATGAAGCCGATTATCTAGATCCGTTCCAGTCGGGCTTCAGGCCAGGGCACAGCACAGAAACGGCATTGGTCGCATTGGTTGATGATCTCTGGAGGGCTCGGGATAGGGGTTGCTCCTCTGTCCTGGTCCTATTAGATCTCTCAGCGGCTTTTGATACCATCGACCATGGTATCATGCTGCGACGATTGGAGGGGTTGGGAGTGGGGGGCACTGTGCTGCGGTGGTTCTCCTCCTTTCTCTCTGACCGTGTGCAGTTTGTGTTGGCAGGGGGGCAGAGGTTGACCTCAAGGCGCCTTGTATGTGGGGTGCCGCAAGGGTCAGTCCTCTTGCCCCTTCTGTTCAACATTTATGTGAAGCCGCTGAGCGAGATCATCTGTGGTTTCGGGGTGAGATCCCACCAGTACACTGATGATACTCAGCTGTACATCTCCACCCCAGACCACCCCAATGATGCCCTTGATGTGATGTCCCAGTGCCTGGACGCTGTGCGGATCTGGATGGGGAGAAACAAGCTCAAACTCAACCTCTCCAAGACCAAGTGGCTGTGGCTCCCAGCATCCCGGTATAGTCAGCTGGTTCCATCGCTGACTATTGGGGGCGAGACCTTGGCCCCCTCAGAGAGGGCTCGCAACTTGGGCGTTCTCCTGGATGCAAGGCTGTCTTTGGAAGATCACATGATGGCCGTGTCCAGGGGAGCTTTTTATCGGCTTCACCTGATGCACCAGTTGCGTCCCTTTCTGGACCAGGATGCCCTGCGCATGGTCACTCATGCCCTCGTCACGTCACGTCTGGACTACTGCAACGCTCTCTACATAGGGCTCCCCTTGAAGAGCACTCGGAGGCTCCAACTGGTCCAGAATGTGGCCGCGCAGGTGGTTATGGGTGCGACTCGGCGCACCCACGTAACACCCCTCCTGCGCGAGCTGCACTGGCTCCCAGTGGTCTTCCAGGTGCGATTCAAGATGTTGGTTACCACCTTTAAAGCGCTCCATGGCTTAGGACCAGGGTATATACGAGACCGCCTTCTGCCAGCAACAACCTCCCACCGGCCAATACACTCCCACAGAGAGGGACTCCTCAGGGTGCTGTCAGCCAAACAATGCCGACTGGCGACACCCAGGGGGAGAGCCTTCTCTGTGGGGGCACCAGCCCTCTGGAATGAGCTGCCCCTAGAGCTTCGTCTTATCCCCGACCTGCGTACTTTTCGCCGCACCCTTAAGACCCTTCTGTTTCAGCAAGCTGGACTAGCCTAGTATGAATTTTTAAAATGTATGTGTGTTTTAATTCACAGCCAAATTTTATATTTGATTTTAATTGGTTTTAAATTTTATAAATCTATGTGTTTTAATATGGCTGTACACCGCCCTGAGTCCTTTGGGAGAAGGGCGGTATAGAAATCTAATAAACTCTTAAACTCTTAAACTGTGAAAATGAAAGTGTAAATTTAATTATGAATAAAAAGACCAAAATGTAATGTCACAAAATCAGAATTTGTCATTTGCATTGTTCTTGATGTATATAATAGTAAGAATTCATAAATTGGGGATATTACATTCTATGGCAGAAGTCGTCAAACTTGGCCGCTTTAAGACTTGTGGACTTCAACTCCCAGAATTCTGGAAGTTGAAGTCCACAAGTCTTAAAGCGGCCAAGTTTGAAGACCTCTGTTCTATGGGAATGCTGGTCATAAAATAACCAGCAATGAATATGCAATAATTTTCTGTATAATGTTATCTGTTAAAAAAAAAACTTATTCTGCTAGATGGCATGAATGGATGGATGGGAACAAATTGAAAGGCTTTTGAAAAAACAATTGGACCATGAGAAGTTCCAAGAATGAATAGGAATGGTGACTGATTGGTAAGTCACTGCTTAGGAAAAGATCTATTTCCAATATGTTAAGTGGTTACTTAAAATGAAAGACCAAGGGAATTACTAAAGGATGTAATGGTGATGAGAGGTTGTTCTTTATTTTTGGTAACATTAAAAGTGGATCATGAGAAAAATGGACGTAGAATAAAAGGAAAGTAAAAAGGAACAAGAATATAAATTGAACGACTATACAAAGAACACATTTGATGGTTTAGGTTAATCTTCTAACATAAAGTTAATGGAAGGATCAACAGAGTGACAAGAATTATGTTATTAAGTGCCCCCGAAATGTGTAGAATTATGTTAATATGCTCTTTGTTGAGAATCACATCAGCTCTGTCCAACCAGAACTTTCCAGTCTTCCCTTCCTTGTGATCAATCCATTCTTCTTTCATAGATTTATTTTGTCATTCAAGTCTCATTCATTCTTTCTATATGACCAGACTTCCTTAATTTATTTCTTCTTACTAGACACTCATATACATTGTTTGTATCATTGTTTCATTCTTGATCTTTTGTTCCTGTTCCTGACACAAACTTCTTAAGTCACCCATACTGCATTCAACTTACTGTTTTGTTTCCTCAGAATGTGCCACGATTGCTGTTGTTTAATTGTAATGCCATCCTATTCTCAATGACTTGGGCAGCTCACAACAATCAAATAAAGATTTCACTCCCATATACTGTAAAAAAGTGAGCAGAGGCATGCTCTTATACACAGTCATTTTCGCTTCTTTCAACAATATTTAATTGCATGCAATATCACGTCCTAAATTTCTACCAGTATTTGAACATCTTGTCAACATACAGCTGCCAGAATCCTACAAACCAAGAGATACCTAACATGCATCAAGTATCTATAGGGATATCTTTATTTATTACCATTCCACCTAATTAATTCCTTAATTAGGTTTCTTCCTGCTGTACACAATAGGGCAATCAATTACCTTGTAGGGGTATACGATACAGAATTGCTCTGACTCATTGCTTTGATAAGAAACATTGGAGGAGGGGGAGGTGGGAAAGAAGTAATTTCTCTTGACTTGCTAGAGGAAAGTGTTGCTACTTTACTCAACTGCTAAGAAGGTCCAGGAGGAATGGTACTTCAGAGGACTCTCTCAACTTCCATTGAAAGAAAACCACCAGCCTCTCTTTGGAATTTGATCAGCTATACATTGAGGTATATGTCTTGTACCTATGATAGAAATGTATCAAAATTTGTGCAACCATACAAAAATTGTCTTTATTCTTATCGACAATGACAATTACATAAGGAAATGATGTTTTGCATTCAGGTAACTAGGCAAATATACTGAAATCATCGTAATCTCTTAATGATCATGTGTTCTATTATTACAAACAGTTTTATAAAACCGAGTTTATAAAACTGTTTATAGCATTTGAATTTTATCTCCACCTACTATCTGGAACGAGCTCCCCCTGGAGATACGGAGGATCCCGGATCTGCGCACTTTCCGCCGTGCTTTGAAGACACTCCTATTCCAGCAGGCCGGCCTGGCCTAATTTTCTCCCCTTCTTTTAAATTTTTAAATTGAAATTTTAATTCGTTTTAAATTATTGGGAATTTTAAATTGTCTCAGGCAAAAATTATTTAATTGGGTTTTAATCATGTTTTAACTTTTGTATTTATGTGTTTTATTTTGTGCCTGTTCACCGCCCTGAGTCCTTCGGGAGTAGGGCGGTATACAAATTTAATAAAATGAAATGAAAAAATGAAAATCTCTCTCTACTCCAGGTTGATATTAAGAGTTCACACTGGAATTAATATTGCTGATATTAGTATTGTTCTGTAGTTTTTGTGTTATTTCTCTGAGGATTCTGAACAAATGACGCACAGGCATTCTTTCTCTTGCAGGTTCTCATACAGAATCAAATATAAAGAGATACAGCATAAAGAGAGAGCACTTGAAAGTGACATTTTAGATGGCTTGGGGTATATGGTCCCCAAATCCTAGAAGACCAATTTCTCAAGCATAAAATATCCATCGCTGTCAGAAGGATCTTAGCAACAGGAAAATAATTGGTTTGTAAATTGCCTTAGATTGTTCTCAAGAGAGTTAGGCAATCCAGGCACTGGGTGGGGAGAGCAGTTTGAGTTGTGTTAGTGAATGCAAGATTTGAAAACACATCTGCTGCTAAATCAGTTTCCCTGAAATGCTGGCTGTCAACTTTCTCAGCTACGATGTGGTTGGATTTCCAGGCAAACAGTGTCATGGGATGTTTGACCAAGGCTCCGTTGGAGGCTGCACTTTATGGAATGTTAGTTCTTGGTGAGCTGCAACTTTTGTGCTGGTGCTTCTACTGACAAGCATAAGCAATGCTGAGAGCAGCCTCTGGAACAAGATCAAGTGATAATTTCTAAATGAAAGGTGACTAATCGATGGGATCTTTTTTTCCAAAGAACTACTGAAAATTGATCCCATTAATATCCAAGATTAGTCAAAAATGTAATTCAATTGCTCTTTGTTACATTTGCGTAGAAGTTGACAGGCACAGTTTTTATGGGTGGGATGTTAAATCAAAGAGACTGAAGGGCAATTTGCAAAGCTTTTGGAATTTTGAGAAATTGTCATGAATGCCAGGACAAAATGATTGCTGGATGGATAGCTGGACTATATTCAAGGTTAAAATGGCAAGACAGAGAAAAGGGCTGGTCAGGTTGGAGCATGATGGCTCAGTGGTTAAAGAAGCTTAGCTTGTCAGCTGGAAAGCTGGCAGCCCGGGTTTGAGACCTGAGTGCAGCGGGAGGGGGTGAGCTCGTTACTTGCCCCAGCTTCTGCCCAGCTAACAGTACAAACAGTACAAACAGGGCCTGGTGGCTCAGCAGACTAAAACCATTGTGATTAACACCAGCTGTCTGCAATTACTGTAAGTTCGAATCTCACCAGGCTCAAGGTTGACTCAGCCTTCCATCCTTTCTAAGGTAGGTGAAATGAGGACCCAGTTTGTGTGGGCAATAAGCTGACGTTGTATAATTATACAAAAGTATGAAGGCTATTGCTTAACGCATTGTAAGCCGCCCTGAGTCTCCGGAGAAGGGCGGCATATAAATCAAATTTTTAAAAAAATCATTCAAAATAGATAAATAGTTACCACATTGGTGGAAAGGTAAGAGCATTCCATGCATCTCAGCATTCCATGCTGGCCACATGACCATGGAAATGTCTTTGGACAATGCTGACTCACCTAAGAAACGGAGATGACCGCTGCCCCTTAGAGTTGGAAATGATTGGACAGGGGAAACCTTTAGCTTTAATATCAACAAGTATCAGATCCATGTTCTTGGAATTTTCATCCCTAATAAACCAGATGCTGAAGAAAGTTGTTGGGTGATTTGTGAATATATGAAGTGGGTGTAGTGGATCCTTAATAAAGGTCATACTATTTCAAATACATATATTTAATTTCTACTAATTAGAATTTTGATCCAATCGCATGGAAAACCAGTGTGTGAGGGTCATATTTCAGGGTCATTATTGTAACTCTGCTTCTACATAACTTTTATGTATATAGCAGTAGAACATCACTTCAGAGAAAACAGAAGCTCTGTTGGTGGAGAGATCATTTATTGCTTTCTACAGGGTCCAACTCCTGCTACAGGAACAACTTTGGAGTTTGAGTTGTTTCTGGAACTGAACTGTTATATCTGCTGAAGGCAAAGTTTTTATTTATTTATTTATTTAAATTTATATGCTGCCTATCTCACTATCAAGTGACTCTGGCCAGTTTAAGGTTTCCTGCAAGGAGGCTGCGCCTTTTATGAGCTTAGCCTGGTTCACCAGATGTGGCCTTCCCTAAAGAGACATAATTTGCTTCTGCTCCAGGCTAGATGGCAATAATGCATTATGAACGGGGTTCATTCTGAAGATGGGTGCAAAACCTGCAGTGAGCTGCACATTTAAAAGATCTGACATGTTTTTATGCCATTCTTATAAATTTGCTATATATGGTCCTACCATTTGCAGAAACTACCATACCCACAGCAGAATGTAGACTCTTGCTCTTTCAGGATGTAAACTGCAGCCCTTTGCAGACTTGCTGCAAATGCCAAAAGCGCTATTGTCCTGAAAAATAAGAACTTTCTTTCTCCCCAGAACCCCAGTGGCAGTAGTCAGGCACATTAAATGGGCTCCTCCCATTTCTGAGGATGGGTGTTCTCTGATTAGAGTGACTGCATGCCAATCACGCAGCCCAGCCTCTCTATTTATTTTGATCAATTAGGGAAAAGTCCAGACATGCCTAAATGCTGGCTTGAAATATTTACTGTTCCTGAAAATAGACTGCACCAGAAAATTTAATTCATAAATATAATATCTTCATTTATTTGTTTAGATTGTCTTTTTAGGATTTCATACCATTCTGATGATCAAAATTAAGATGTGATTGATAAATTGAAACCCAAAAGAATCTTCCCAATCGTGCTCTTAAATTGTGCCAGAATAAAGCTGTGAAGATAATCACAAACTTCATTATGGATACAAGGTAAGAGTTTGGGCCTCAAGGCAGTGCAAATCATACTGGCATATTTTTCCTCCAACTCAGGGCCTGAAAAAAATGCATTTTAACATGACGTAGAAGTGAGCTGCGAACCAGTAGTAAAGGTAAGTAGAACCCACCCCTGAGTAGAACCCATCCCTGGCCCAAAGTCTAGGAAAATTTGCTAAATGTAGGCAAGGAACCAGGCTGTAGCAGGTGAAACCAGGATTAAAATGGAGGGAAGAGGATTTCCCATGGTCTCTGGCAGCTTCCCACAAAGAAAGTTAATGGGGAAGCTGGCAGGAAGTCAGAAGTCTGTGTTCATTCTTTTCCTCTGATTAGATAAGGAAATATCTCAGAAATGATGACCCAGTGAGGCATAGATTGTCTAGTACATAACAATCTGAGATTAAATCCCACTGAATTAAATATATAGGGCATGCCTTGAGAATGCATATATAGAATTACACTCTTTCTGAATTACAACACAATTCTATATACATGTCTACTCAAAAACTCTCAGTGAATTTTACTTCCAGGTGAGTGAGCGAGTGAGTGATTTCAGGCTTAGTGAAGTAGTCTCATGAACAGTATTAGACAACAGTATAAATAGACACATACTTATATCTTCTAAATCAGATCTATTATGTAAGTATTCACAGTATTAAAGAAACTAGAAAATGAGCTGAAGAATTTAAGTGAATGGTAGGCTAGACAGCTATTGTTATGTTGAAGTAAAATCACATGCCAGACAGAGATCTGAGTCAGCCCTTTTCCAGCCAGAACATAATTGATCTAGTAAGACAGTGACACAGCAGAAATAAAAGGATAAATATAGGTGGCTAAACTTTAAAGCTTTATGTTGCCCAAATAGTTTCAACTATTTGCTGTTAGCAGCAAAGAAGGTACCCCAAGAGAAAATTAAGACAAAGCTGAAAACAGTGTGCTTCAGGAATGCCACGTAAAATCTGAGGCTAGTTCTAGGACTTGATTTTTTTTTTTTTTTTTTACTTTTCAGACTTTGCATTGACTCGTGAACCTCAGGTTTCAGCAAAAGATGAAGGCAATCCAATGCATCTAAATTCGGAAAGGATTTACACTGTGCTGAAATGATATAATTCATGAATGTTATGGAATTTCACAGCTAAGGTTAGGGTTATCCAGAACTAGGCTGCATCTTTTCACTGCTATTAAGTGGTCATCTGGATTTTTGAAGCTCACTTCTAGTAGCTCTTCACAAGCAATAATTATGTTTTATGGATTGTTATGTATGCTGAAGCTGCTCAAAAAAATCTGAGAGGTATTTGGTTTCTAACTTTCCCCTTCTTAATACCTTGATCTATTTGCGTATTTCTAAATATTTAGGCCCCCTTACAAACTGTACTGAAAATGTTTATATTACCTGTATGCTGCTTCCATGTTATATATATGGAAACAATTTTTGGTTGAATTTTATTAAACTTCTGTTGTGAATATGTGCTATTAATCTTGCCATTTCTCCATATTCTCCAAGTTTAAGTTTGTAGTCAGATGTCATCAGAATAGGGTCTTTCTTCCAAAATTTATTCTTGCTGCTAAGAGCATGTATCTTAGTACATTATGATATTTCTGGTTGATATATTCTGAAATTATACATAGTAAATAGATAGTTTATTAATTGATTGGTGATATGATCATATCAAAAATAAAAATAAAATACAGGATCTAATTTTAGCGTAAAATAGAAGAAAGAAAATATAGTAATAAAATATATATGTGGTAAATGCAAAGAATCAACCTTCCGATAAATACATCACTTTTACAATTGTTTGATGTAACAGGTTCTTATCTCAACTGCCTTAACTATAAACTTAGCAGTTCTGCTCATAATATATACATTAGAGCCCAGAAGGAAATAGGACAATCTGCAGTTCAGATCCCAGTAAGCTGTTCTTACAGGTAGGGTTATTAAATATCTAAGCCTAAAGGAGGGCATATCATTGACAGTTAAAGAAAATATGAGGTAGGCACCACATATACATATCCTCTCATGATATGGCAGGTGATAGAAGTGCTCATATTTGACTGTGGAATCCATCAACACAGATCTTGCTCCAGAATAGGCCCTTCTTAAGAACTGTGTCAAACTCATTGATGGGTATTTTCTCAAATTGGAAAATAATTTTGTTCTTAGCCAACCAACTTAAAAATCTATTTTTGCCAATAACTCCATGTCACTTTGGACACTGACATCTAGAGATCTTAAGCTTGGGAGTCACTTGAGAGTAAACACTGAGTAGAAAACCCATGCTGTGAAATAACTTTGGTGAGTCAGCTTACTCAGGAATTGGACTGAGCCATTCTTATCTATTATGCCAAACCTATTTTTGGGTAGCTTATTGGGATCCATTGAATGGATCCTCTGCCAGGGTTGAAGAATTATACATAGGGAAAAAAAGAGTGATTCCTTTCAAATTTAATTTTTCTGTATAATGCTATGCATATATTTCCACAACATGGGATAAAATGTTCTTCCCATTTCATGGCATTTATTACGTGATTTGTCTATCTTGGAGATTATTGATGGATTCTGTACCATCTGTAAAACATTTTATACCAAGTTTCTTTTAGATTGCAGCTTGGAGTGGAGTTTATGGATTTGGTCTATAATTCTTTCTATCATTGTTGCTTTAAGTTTTACATCCATTTTATCAGATATTTTTAAATTTGTTTTGTCTCTGTGTCATATCTGAGTTTGTATATGCATTCTAATAGATTGTATTGGTCTTGTGTAAATTCTGCCATTTTTCTTAATGTCCTTCCCTCATTCTTAGGATCATATATTAATCTTTCCAACAATTTGTAAATACATCAAGCATGATATGTTCCAGCCTCCACTGAACAATTCTTGCTGTGTCTTTAGTCAATTCATTGCGTCTGAGTGGTAGACTAGGATTACATTTTTCTTACTGTAATTATCTCCAATATGAAAAGGATTTGAAGGATTACATTAAAATGCATTTTGGATTTTTCCAAATGTAGTATTCTATGGACATTTAAAGGCTGTTACTAAAGTTGATATTGGTATATTGCATGAATAAAAAATAACTTGAAATCTTATATTTTCAATATGTTACATTGACAAATAAACATTTAAGAATTTTAAGTAAAGTGCTTATGATCTTAAAAAGAGACTTTAAAATTGTTTTTCATATATATTGGACATTTTGAGAATATTTAGGAATGGTTGGCTGACAAGTTAATATCCTCAAAGTGTAAAATAATGAAAAGGATACTTACATATATGACAAGATGTTATTGATCAGTTTATTTTAATGCTCATAAATTGTCAAAATAATTTGGGGAAGAGAAATGGTGTTTAAAGATGTTAACTACAATATTGAATAATATACTTTATATTTGGAAGTTACTAAGTCAGATCCTGGATTGAAAGCTTGATCTTGATGAGCCTTGGTGCGCAGTGGTTAGAGTGCAGTACTGCACGATACTTCTGCTGACTGCCAATTGCTAGCAGTTTGGTAGTTCAAATCTCACTGGTTCAAGGTTGACTCAGCCTTCCATCCTTCCAAGGTGGGTAAAATGAGGACCCAGATTGTTGAGGACAATATGCTGACTCTGTAAACCACTTATAGAGGGCTGTAAAGCACTGTAAAGCAGTATATAAGTCTAAGTGTCAGCTCCTCTGGAACCGCCTGTGCTCTGCCAGGCAAACACCACAGACACACAAGAAAGTTTCTCCAAAGCCTGGTTTAATCGTAGCTTACGCGGCGGTTTACAGTAGGCACTGAAGCCCATACAGGACAAAGTCAGAGACGCTCGCTTAGTTCGTTAGTGGAGTTTTATAGAGCGGCTCCACCCTATATCCTTCACAGCTGCACAGCTTTGAATTTGCTGCTTCTCCTGTTTACTCTCAGCTGCGCAAGATAATGACGTCATCTGCAGCTCCATGGTTGTGCTCGAGGAGTCAGCATCGGGTGCTGGGGTAGGACGTCATCTACGCCTCTCCAATCGCAATGCAAGCCTCGGAATACTAACCGCGATTCCCCCCCTCCACATACCGCCCATCACCTAATATCACCTTGTAAATATATCTAGACACGACACACCCTCCACCATGTTTTGTTGGTGAATTCATTTCGGAGGCCCCTCGCCTGGGATGGCATTGTGTCAAGGGATTACTTGACACTCGATATGCGGCCTCCCCTACCAGGTCTCTTCCTGTAGATACAAAATGACAGCATCTGATTATCAACCAATTATGGAATATGACCACCCGCTTTGTGTGGATACGATTTGGGGAACCATTTCAGTAATCGTGGAGCGTTTAGATCTGTTGCTTTCACCCATGACGCATCTGTATTAGGGTATCCTTTCCAGCGTACTAGATATTTGAGTGTTCTGTGATGTATTTTAGAATCAAGTATTTTTTCGACTTCATATATGTTTCCTGTTATGGGTCCTGGCCGTGTACCAGAGTCTCTTATACTAGTTGCTGGTTTCAGAAGACTACTGTGGAATACTGGATGTATTCTCTTCAGTAAAGATGGAAGTTTCAGGGACACCGTAACCGGATTTATTACTTTGGTGATAGTGAAGGGACCTATATATTTAGGGCCTAGTTTTTTACTAGGTATGCGGAATTTTATATACTTTGTAGAGAGGTATACTTTTTCTCCTACCCTGAACGGTGGGATGTCTCTTCTCTTTTTATTAACCTGTTTCTTGTATGCTTGGGAAGCTTTAGTTAATGCATTTTTTATATATGGCCAGCTTTGCTTGATTTTCTCGGTCCATTCAGTTGGGTTGTTTGAACCCTCCGTCTGTAAATCTAGTTCTGGGATGGCCAGAAACTCTCTCTCGGAGACCACCTGGAAAGGTGTATACCCTGTACTGCTATGTACGGTATTATTATATGCTGACTCTCAGCTTGTCCACCCAACCGCTCTGGAAGCAAACAACAACCAGAAGGAAACAAAGCGGTTTGCAGCATCTTTAATCAGGTTAAGCACAGCAACACAGGCAGGAGTAAGGCACAAGCCGGCATCGATGTTTAAAGTTAGCGCTACACGCAGCCGCTGTGTAGCGCTCTTTATACACTTAGTAACAAGCAATTTACCATTTGGCAATCAAACAGTTAACACCACACACCCCTTCCCACTAGCTTGCTCGATGATAGGGCGCACTTCCTGTTACGTCACAAGGAGGCGCCATTCGCAAGCTTTATGCTCCACCGAGCTCCGATGAAAGCGTTCATTTCTTTTGTGCTTCAGTGGCAAGGTCCCTCCAAACAGCTGGGAGCACATCACCGGAGTTTACAGCTGCTCGGCCCCTTCTCATCTTCCTCCTCAACAATGGCGAGACCCATCCGGGGCTCGACACTGACTCTGCAAAAGGTAATAGCTCGTACCAATCGGTCTGTTGGTACGATACGTAGGACCGTAGGTATCTCTCTATCATGGCATTAGCTCGTTCGGCTGCCCCATTAGTGCTTGGATGAAATGCAGAACTGAGACCTTGTTCTGTTCCTATCTGTTTCAGGAAAGCCCTCCAGAACCGGGCGGTAAATTGGGGACCTCTATCAGATAAAATCCTTTTAGGTGCACCATGGAGACGGTATATGTGTTGTACGAATAGTTTTGCTAAACGTCGTGCAGATGGTAATCCTTTGCAGGGAATAAAATGCACCTGTTTAGAAAACAGATCGATGATGGTCCATATTACAGTATGTCCTTTGCTACTAAGTAATTCAACCACAAAGTCCATGGCTATTTCATCCCATGGTCTATGTGGTTCAGCCATGGACTGTAATGTGCCGAGTGGCTTACCTGACAATGGTTTGGCCGTTATACAAACTGGACAACCTTGTACGTATTTTTCTACCTGCTTTTGCAGTTGTGGCCACCAAAATTGCCATCGAACTAGATGTAATGTCTTGATAAATCCAAAATGCCCTGCTGTTTTGACATCGTGACACCGTCGTAAAACTTTATCTCTCAATGTGGCAGGGATGTACAATTTCCCTCCCTTCCGTATGAGCCCTCCCCTTTGTGTCGTTGACGGTTTGTTACTAACCAAGGGTCTGTTGTTAACTCCTTTTGTAAGTCTGCTATCCAAGCAGAAGGCACTGGTACTATATCCCTCACTTGGTGTCCCGTTTGTTGAGAAGGCATTAAGGCCTGGGTTATGTCATCTCGCTGACTTTCGTATTGGGGCAAACGTGATAAGGCATCCGCCAAGTAATTCTTCCCACCAGGTATAGTTTTAATTGAAACATGAACCAACGGAAGTATTGTGCCCACCTTATCTATTTTGGTGACAACCTACAAGGTGTCTGGAGGGCTTCTAAGCTTTTATGGTCCGTCCATATCTCAGACTGGATGCTAGTGCCCTCCAGTAAATGCCTCCATGTCTGCAAAGCCCATTTAATAGCGTAAGCCTCTTTTTCCCACATGGTCCAGTTGCGTTCTGTGGGACTTAATTTTCGGGAGGTATAGGCACATGGTTGGAATATCCCATGGTCGTTCCATTGTAAAAGAACCCCTCCCACTGCTACATCGCTCGCGTCGGCTTGGATTATAAACGGCTTAGAGGTAACCGGATGCTTAAGTATCAGTTCTCTAGCAAACAGGGATTTTAAGATCTCAAATGCCTGTTGACAGGACGATGTCCACTCTAAACCCTGCTTCGGTTTACGTTTGTCTACTGTGAGGGTTTTTGTTTGTAGGAGGTCAGTTAACAGTAAGGCTACTTTAGCAAAAGAGGGGTTAAACCTCCTATAAAAATTTGCAAACCCTAGGAAACTCTGTAGTTGTTTCCAGGTCCTTGGAGCTTGCCACTCCAATACTGTTTTAACCTTATTGGGATCCATCTCTATCCCTTTCCCAGTAATCCTGAATCCCAAATAGTCTATTTCTGATTTATGAAACTCACATTTCAATAGTTTTACGAATAGGTGGGCCTTCAATAGTTTGGTTAGGACTTGCTGTATGAGATGAATATGCTCTTCCATGTTGGTGGAATAAATCAGTATGTCATCTAAATACACTAGGACACTGCGATACAGATGATGATAGAGCACGCTGTTTATAAGCTGCATGAAGACTGCGGGAGCCCCCTGCAGGCCAAATAGCATATCCTGGAATTTGTAACTGCCCAGAGGGCAGTTAAATGTTGTCTTCCACTCATCACCTTCACGAATATGGACCCTGTAATAAGCTTCTCATAGATCAAGCTTGGTAAAGATCTTACCAGTAGTCAAAGTCGAGAGTAAGTCCGTCATAAGAGGTAAAGGGTACAGGGGTTCCACACATACAGCATTCAATCCTCTAAAATCAACACACAAACGTAAACCCCCGTCTTTCTTTTCTTTAAACAACACTGGCGCTGCCATATGTGATCGACTGGGTTTTATAAAACCTCTCGCTAGGTTCTGGTCTATGTAATGCCATAGTTTGCCTAATTCGAGGGGTGTCATCGAATACATACGAGGTTTGGGAAGTGTACTGCCAGGTTTTAGTTCTATCACACAATCGGTTGCACGATGGGGTGGAAGGGACTCACACTCTTTCTCACTAAACACTCGCCACAAATCCCTGTATATATCTGGAACCCCCTCTAAACATGGCACCTCCCTCCCAATTGCTCCTGTAGTGAGGTTATCCTCTGGTGGACTTGGACCCATCGCTATGCGTAGTTTGCGGAACCCCCCCTCCCACCAAATCATGGGTTTTCATCTGTCTAGCCATGATAACCCCAGAATCACGGGTTCAATCATTTTTTCCACCACCACAAAACACACCAACTCTCAATGTTGACCTATTTCAAGTTTTACCAATTCTGTCACATGGGTAGCCGGTTTTCCACCCAGAGTTGAGCCGTCCATTTGTTTGAATATAATAGGTTTTTGCATTACTGTAATACGGAGGCCTAAATTGTCTGCCACTGACTCTGTAATAAAAAACGGGTACAACCCGTATCTATTAAAGCCCCTTGGTGGTTTGCCCTACCCGTTTGGGGATGCCTCAGTATTACCTGAATTATGAATGGGCGAATAGGATCAATAGAGTCTTGTTGTTCCATCTCTTCCTCATGGATCCTCA